ATCATTTAATTAACACAATTAAACATTTAAAACACTTCAATCACACAAACACATCACATGGAATCAAATAAGAATGCACATATAATTAGCCAACATAAATAAATTTAATTAATTCAAATAAAATAATTTAATAAAATAATTAATCAATTAAAAACATAATTAAATATAAAAACAAATAAACAAATAGCCACATAAATAAATAAAATGCAATTAAAATAATTAAATAAAATCCAATTAAATCCTTTGAAAATTTAGGGTATTACATTATTCCCCCATAACAAAAGGGAAATCGCCTTTACCATATTCCATAATTTCTGAAAACTTGGAGTGAATTTCATCATCTCATTCCCAAGTAGACTTAGCCTCATTATGATGGCTTCACTGAACACGCACAAGAGGTATAGTCTTGTTGCGAAAAACCTGATCCCTACGGTCTAGAATACGACACGTTGGCTCCACATATGTTATATTTGGTTGCAACTCAATCTCGTCAACATCTATATGCTGATAAGGATCCTCATCTCGCAGAAATTTCCACAACATGGACATATGAAAAACATTATGGACACGATGTAAATGGTCCGGAAGTGCTAACTAATAATCTACAGGTCCAACTCGATCTGTAATTATAAAAGGACCGAAAAAACGCGGTGACAGCTTCCCTTTCTCCCCAAAACGTTCTACTTCTTTCATAGGAGATACTTTGAGTAAAACCTGATCTCTAACCAGAAACTCCAATTCACAAGTACGACAGTCAGCATAACTCTTCTGCCTACTCTGGGCAATGTGCATACGATCCCTACGAGATCTTCTCAGAGGTATCCTTAATGAACTCAGGAAACAAAAATCTGCTTTCTCCAATCTCCAACCAACAAATAGGAGATTTACATGGTCCGCCATATAATACCTCAAACGGTACCATACCAATAGTCTTCTGAAAGTTACTGTTGTATGCAAATTACATAAGTGACAAATAATCCTCCCAATTGCCCTTAAAATCAAGGACACAAGAACGAAACATATCCTCCATGATTTGATTAACTCTCTCGGTCTATCCATTAGTCTGAGGATGATAAGCAGTGCTGAGACGCAAATCTATACTCAAAGCTTACTGAAAGCTTTTCCAAAATTCTGAGATGAAACTCGAATCCCTGTTCGAGATGATAGACAATGGGATGCTATGTAACTTCACAATCTTTGTAATGTAAAGCCTCGCCAATTGCTCCGAAGTAAAATCAGTGCGAATAGGCAAGAAATCAGCCGATTTGGTCAATTTATCAATAATAACCCAAATGGAATTATGACTCTTATTGAAAGTAGGCAATCCCTCCACAAAATCCATATAAATGCTCTCTCATTTCCACTCTGGTATAAGTAGTGGCTACAAAGAACCTGGCGGTCTCTGATGATCAATCTTAACCATCTGGCAAGTACTATACTTAGAGACAAAAATAACAATGTATTTCTTCAAACCCGCCCACTAAAACTGTCACTTCATATCCTGATACATCTTATCTCCACCTGGATTGATAGAAAGTTAGATTTGTGAACCTTAGTCATCACATCCTTCCTCAATTCATCAGTAGAAAGTATTACTAAACACCCCTTATACCTCAAGCCTCTATTAGTCCCAACACAATAAAATGAAACATTTCTAGAAGCTAACTCTGTAACTCTATCAATGCACTGCTGATCTATGAGTTGTGCCTTAAATACCTTGTGAATAATAGACTGTGTAACTGCTATACACGCCATAAAAGTATCGACTAACTCATCAACTGTCTTCAAAGTATCCCACTTAATAGCGAATACTGCAGAAAGACTAGCATAAGGTCGGCGACTGAGTGTATCTACTACCACACTTGTTTTTCCTGGTTGGTACTGTATAGAGAAATGATAGTCCTTCACAAACTCTAACCATCTACACTGTCTTATATTCAACTCTTTCTGAGTGAACAAATACTGCAAGCTCTTGTGATTACTAAATAGTCTGAAGGACTCCCCCAATAGATAATGCCTCCAAATGCGTAAGGCAAATACCACAGCTGCCAACTCCAAATCGTGTGTTGGATAATTAAGCTCATGAGGCCTACGCTTACGAGATCAATACAAAACTGGTTGTTCCTCATGCATCAAGACACACCTAAGACCATGTAAAGAAGCATCTATGTAGACAAGATACTTTATCCGGCTCTGTGGTATAGTTAAAATAGGTGCAGAAGTCAACTTGCTCTTCAGCTCATCAAAAGCGTTCTGACAGTGTTCATCCCATACGAATGGTACACCCTTCTTAGTCAAATGAATGAGTGGTCCTGCAATCTTCGAGAACCCCTGAATGAACCTACGATAATACCCTGCCAATACCAGGAAACTCCGAATCTCTGAAGGTGAAGTAGGTTGTCCCCACTCTAACACTGCTCAGACCTTGGCTGGATGTACCGCTCTCCCCTTTTCTGACACCACGTGATCTAGATTTTTCACTTCTCGCGGCAAAAGTCACACTTCTCAAACTTGGCATATAATTAATGTTCATAAAGCGTCTGTAACACTGTGTGAAGATGTCTAGCATGATCATCCTCTGACTTATAATAGACCAAAATATCATCAATGAATACGATGACAAACTGATTTAAATAAGCCCTGAAGACCATGTTCATCAAATCCATAAAGACTTCTGGTGCATTTGTCAACCCAAAAGGCATGACACGAAACTCATAAGAGCCATATCTAGTGAAAAACACTGTTTTAGGAACATCTTACTCCCTAACTCGAAGTTGATGATATCCAGATCGAAAATCAATCTTGGAGAAATAAGTAGCTCCCCTTAATTGATCAAAAAGATCATCGATCCTGGGCAAATTAAAGATACTTATTATGAATAGTAACCTTGTTCAACTCCCTGTAATCTATACACAGGCGAAGTGAATCATTTTTCTTCTTCACAAACAAAACTCGCGCTCCCCAGGGTGAAGTACTCCTACGAATGAAACCTTGACAGAGTAATTGCTGAATTTGATCCTTTAGCTCTCGTATCTCCACTGGTGCCATTTTGTATGGTGCCCTATCAATAGGCGTAGTGCCTGGAGCTAAGTCAATCACAAAGTCTATGTCTCGACTTGGTGCCTTCATGAGTAAACTCACGGGCCTGTTAAATTTCAAAACCCAAATCCTAGTGATAGATTCTGCATAAGAAGGATACTTGATTAAGTAGCTGACGCGAAAGGTTAAATGCTTCAAGAGTGCCACCCCTTCCCCTCCTTTCATTAAATCAAATGCATTAATCAGAACGTTCCCCATCAAAGCTCAACTTTTCCTCTCCCAAATGATTAATGCTAGCTTGCGTCTATCTCAAATGTTCATAATAAATAGAACTCATTTATACATGAGCAAAAGTCCTGCACTAATATAACTCGCATTCCATATTGTCTCCCTTTATAGCCTCCAACATTCCTCACTAGTTATCTTTATCTTTATCTAGTTAGTTTTTATGTCATAGCGTAGCATTTCCTGTTTTCCTTCCATTAATGTTACACCATTCTATTCCTAGCCTAGCTTTATAAGTTGTAATCATGGAGCAATCTTTCTGGTAGAATGTACTAATGCACTCTTATAGTTGATAACGAGAATGTTACTTTTTGGTCGACCCTTTGTAAAATCTCTTTCTCCGAAAGAAAATACCAAAATTACCACCACTTTTAACAAGCAAATTGAGCTCTCTAAGTAGGGCCGAAGTGGTAAAGAACTGTGAGAGTGTCATTTTTGCTCTCCACGGTTGCCTAAGTTAGATAAGGCAAAAACTATAGGCGCGCCGTAGCATCATATGAATATATGCTTGGCTTTGTGAAATTCGGCCTAGCTAGCTTAGCTGCAAATTGGACCTTATAGAACTCTAGCGTGCCATAAACAAACATGGACCCATTCAGTCCTTCGTTGAGGCAATTGCCCTCATAAAAATATTTCTCTTTGGTTTTTTTTTTTTTTGTTTTTTGAATTATGTCCCTATAAAATTTTAAAATTGTCCCTATAATATTATATACTTACCATAGTTCGCCGTATCGTACAATACGCGATCATTTTTCAAATCCAATATGCAACCTGTATCGGTTAGTTTACACTGATTTTGTTCGATTACATTACACTGTGATCATAACTGATACCGCAATCGTGACTGCTACTGCGAACTATGATACCTGCTTTGTTGTTGTTATTGTTGTTTTAAAAGGTTGCCCCTCACACACTGCTCAAGGCCCTGTGAACACCGGGAGCCAAATGCATCCAACCTCTAAGATATCATATAATCAGTACTTTAATATTCGAGGTTTTTGGTATATGTTGAGAAAAGCTTTTGACATTTGTTAGCGGAAGCTAGCCCATCCCTTCTTTGAAAATGTCAATGGTGTTCAAAATCCAGTCAGTGATATATACAGAAACACTTTACTAATAGTACCAATAAACCAATTGTTACGAAGGAGTTTGTTCTACTTCGAATTCCGATAAAAAAATAAATGTGTATAAATAAGTAGGTATGCAATATTATTCAATAACTCAAATTTTTGAGTAAATAAATTTAAATTTTTGGGTAAATGGGGCACTTGTCCACCCACATGTTATACCAATCATATTCCAATGTTAGATAATGTACCGTTAACACTAATTAAGCAAGCACCCAGTAGTGTGTTTAATTTTGTAAAATATTTTTAAGTATTTCCCATACATCCTCCTAATATTAGATAATGAACTTAGAAGCAGAATGCTAACCTCTTCTTGGCCACGTGGGAATATTAATTCTAGCATTCTCTACTTCCAGATAATAGAATAATGAATAAAGAATAGCAAAACCCGCGGTTGGGTTAGCGGGTGAGAATTCGGACCCGGTGCCTTTTGAGGCGCAACTGCAGAGTTACAAGGACTGTCAAATCCAATCCAAGTGTACATTTCATTCAAACATCACGAGCCAGAAAAAAAGCACATCAAGCAAATTTACGGAGCAACAGAAGATATAAAAATCAAGCACACTTTCGTCTATCATAACGTGAGACAAACATAATACATTTTGAATGGAAATGGATTACCCAATCGATAATTTGGGTACATTTTGAATGAAAAAATGAATTGAATGCCTATTTTGTCGCAAATATTAAACTTCCAAGTTAGTTCCAAACTGCACAAGAGAGACACACAACCTACACACTAAGGATCATCTCAACCAATGATTTCTCTCTCTCTCTCTCTGTGTCTCTATCACCACCCACTAGTACCCAGATGACAAGACAATATTACTCAGATAAAATCAAATGGTATTGCCTTTGCTGCTGCCAAATAACATTCATTTAGGTAGACAGGAGTGTTTTGGCTGGTGGGAGCAGAGCAACCGCACCTCGCTGAGGATTAGAGTATTTTCTGTGGATAACCTTTAGTTTGTTTTCAGATGCCATCAAGTGTAAACTAACCAGTAGTTTAGCGCAATCCCTGTTTGAAGAACAAGTGTAAATAAAACAAATGGAATTTACTAAATGCAGAAAAAAAAAATGAGTAATAGAGAAAGGGGAATGGAATTAAGATTGAATGGAATTTACCTGAGCTGTGGCTCTGAGAAACCGGTATGACGTTTAAGGGTCTCATTCCAAAGAGGGGTCTTGTTTAGGGTACAGCGGGCAGCATAGACTGCTGAGGCAGCAATCATTGATGGACAGTAAATTATGGTGGTATAATTCATCATACCCAGCTCCGCCAGAAAATACACCATATTCTCCATCTATTTATTAATAAATTACAAAGTAAGGTTGGTTTAGTTTAGTAACACCTATTTAAATTTATTTATTATAGAGTAAGAAATACTACTGCTCACATTCTGATCAGGATCAGAAGCTTTGATAAAGCGAACGAGGAACACATAAGGAGTAGGAACTGTTAAGTTCCATTCCAACCCGCCCAATATTCTTTTCTCCATGATCAACACCTGCTCATGACTATAAGCTCTGTCTGAAATGCATACGAAATCATTCACCTGCACAATACATACATACATCAATATCCTATGTATGACAAAAGTTCAAATATGAACGTACAATAACCAACACATAACATATACATATATACCTCCGGGGCCCATATTTCTTCATATTTGGAAGCCATAAGCATTGCGCCCATGCCCACTAACTGTAGCTCCCTCCTTGACACAGTGTTGATGGAAAGGTAGCGATCAACAATGTTGATGGTGAGGTAAAGAGTCTCTGGCATAAGCTCAAATTTGTTGTGAACTTCAATCAACCAATCCACTAGAATTGCTCTCATCCTCTCATTGATCTCAGGCTGCGAATCCATATAATCATGAACTCGGCTCTCGTTCTGCATCATGTACGGGTTAAAATAAATTACACTCTTTCTTAACATCAGACATTAATTAATTAAAACAGGATAATTATATATATACCTCAACTAGCTTGTAGAACTTGTATATATCTTCAACGTATTCAACAACAGCTAACTCATTATTGACATCCACAGCATCAATATCCAGTATCTGCTCCTCCCTTGGTTTATCAGTCAGGCCACAAGCAGCCTGCATATATATATATATATATATAATATGTATGTGATTGAATGAATTGGTACTAGAATTATCAACACCCCCCAATATGAATGACTATACATGTATGAAAAGGTGATGCTGCTCACCTTGCTTCGAGCAGTGAGGATTGAAGTTAGAGTTTGGGTTTTCTTTCTGGATGACCCATCTTCACTTGCCTTTTTAGGGTTGAGAGGAGGCTTCTTCTCCTTCTTGACATCTTCTTCTTGTTGTTCACTAGTATCAGGACTTATCTCAATCACATTCTCAGGCTTGGGTTTGACAGTAACTACTTTTTTGTGAGCTGCAGCCTTCTTCTGTGCAACAACTACTGCTCTTTTGCTGGCTATGGCTATGGCTCCATCAACACCAATGGCGGCTTTGTCCACTGGTTTCTGCAAATGAAAGGAGGAGCCAAAACAACACTCACTTGTCAAACCACCAAATAATGCAATCAATTATTAATAATTTCAATATCAATATAGAAAAGGATTTTGAGACTATCATATATATATATATATATATATATATATATATATATATATATATATATATACCTTGTTGTTTTCAGCTGCTGCTTGTGCATTAGCGAGTAATTGTGCACAAAAACTCCTGAAACAATAGAATCTCACAAAATCAACAACAAAGACATCTAAAAAAAAGAATTGTGTGTGTGTGGAGAGGGACAGACCTTGTAACGGGACGAGAGATGTGAGAGGGCTTCGCATCAACAACTCCTCCTCCTCCTCGAACAGTGACCAAATTCCCAATATCACCAAGTGCACGACGGTTTCTCCCTTGGCCTCCTCCTCCTCCTGCTGCTGCTGCCATATTCTTCTTCTGCTTAACAATAATATCCCCAGCAACTGCCTCTCCTATAAAAATTCCATTACATAAATTCACTATTGACATATATATATATATATATATATATATATATATATATATAACAATAATCTTTACAAACCCTAAAATTTCAGCAGATCAATTAATCATTATATAATCGGAGATTCTTGGACGGATAAAAGTGAGAAAAACGAAGAAGAATAATAATAAGAAGAAAAACCTAAAAGGGCAATGAATAAATTGACATATCATGAAGATGATGATGATGAAGTTAGAAATCAAATCTCTATCAGAGATGAAACAATTATCTAACAATAAGAGTATTCAGAAAGGAAATAGACCCACAAAGAAATATCAAGAAAGAAACTTGGTTCTGATGATCAATCAAGTCAAACTAACTCCATAGAGACACACACAAGCTTAATTTAAGGAAAGATGGAGACAAACACGTACAGAGAAGCCAATCATCTACAGACAAGAAGGCGATGTATGGAAGACCATATGTACATCTATGATTCCAAAGAGCCTACGTGTAGTGTAGTGTGTGTGTGTGTATATATATATATACCTTCAAATCACTATCAATCCATATATATATATAATAAGATTTAATTGAAGGTGGAAAAAAGACAAAACAAAGAACCTAAAGAAATGATCCATTAGATTAGACCCATGACTAGATGGAACAATATAGAATTAAAGAATGCGGCAAGATCGAACACACATCAAGATAGATAATGCGATCAAATAGTACGTACCTCTATTTTGGTGTTGAACAAGGGCTGGTCTTGAACCCATTTCAGAAGAAGCTTGATTAATCTCGTCCTCCAAATCCCCTAAAAAAAAAGATGACAGGAACGTCCTGATTATTAGCCCAATCGACTTTCACTCTTCTGAGTAGTAGTCGTCGTCTGTAGTCGCCACCACCGGTTTAATCTCTTCTTTCTCTCTCTCTAATTCTCTGTTTCTCTCTGCATCAGAAACAGACAGTGCGCATAGGCATTGGGGACTGACAATACACCCCTTTTTTTATGCTGAGGAAACGACGCTTCATTCCAACGGTCTTTTCCTTTTTAAATTAGGACCGTTTGATCGATAGCCCATCCAACGGCTGTGAAAATCGTTTGCTCATATAACCGTTGGACTGTTCAAAAGTTACCGTTAGCTAGTGTGTTGATTAATAAAAATAAAAAAAAACCAAAGAGGTTATAAAAGGGTATGGTATTTAGTGTTGCGATAACCAGTCTCATCCAATATCACGGAGTCACAATACCTCTGTTTCTGTACACACAATACACGTGTAATCAATGTTTCATGGTTCTTTTGCGCTGTTTCTTCAAGCTGATTTTAAACTAGGCTTATGTACCACACTGATTGTTTTTTTTTTTTTTTAGAGACAAAGTCACCCTGAAGTTTAAAAAAAAGTTACCAAAGACGTTCATATTGCCACCTGTCATATATGACATACAGGTTGTCAAATAAATAAATTAAAGACTTGATTCCAAAAAGTGAAAAATTCCATACAACAACAGTTGTCGAATTTTTATAAAAGTATATGTTTGGCCAAAAATTAAGAAAATTTTTAGCGAGTAACTAGTTATGCAGAGGAACCTTTGGTAAAAATTTCATAGCAATCAAAATATTATAATACCTTGGAGAAATTAATAAATTTCAGTATAGTAAATTGGTGTTATTTCGTGACTCATATTAATTTAAGGGTAATTTTGACATTTCAACATGTATAAAATTTTACAATAAAGCTGATTTTAATATTAAGAGGCAATTTTCTCTTTTCGAATCATTTAAGGCCTTGTTTGGATGAAATTTTGACGAGAAGTGTCATTTTCTAAAAAATAGCCAATTTGTATATGACTATTCATATAGCAAACCTTAAGGATGTCATTGTACTTTACCCCCCCCCTCTCTCTCTCTCTCTCTCTCTCTCTTCATTATTTACAAAGATTTAAGATTTTCACATCTGAATTTGATTTTTGTTCTTGAAAAACAAATTAATTCTTTTTAAATTTTTTTTTTTTTTTATTTCCACTTGAAAAAATGATAATTCTTACATGGTCATACTTATTTTCTTGTTACCTTTTTCTGGTAAATATTTTCTTTTAAAATTACGGCGTTCCATTTGTTGGGTAGAGAAGAAAAAGTTTCAAAAATATTTACCAAATCAGTGTTAGATTTGTTTAGGGTAAATTACACTGACCTCCCCTAAAGTTTGGACAAATAACACATAAATAGAATATTTGACCTTTATTACTATGACCTTCCCTAAAAATGTGAAACGTTTTTTTATACCCTTATCTAATTTAATAATAGTTTATTAAAAAAAAAATATCAAACCGAAATACTATTACCCCCATTTTCCCTTCTTGTAAACACTATATTACCCTACCTATATTTTATTTTATTTTTTTTTTTAAAAAAAAACCTAATAAAATTCTAAAAATAAACCTAATCAAATGTCATTAAAAAATATATATATTTTTGTAAAATTTTATAATATGAAATTGGTATAAAAATTGATATTTTGCATTTTAATGGCATTTCATGATATTTTTATTATTTCATATCAAAATATAAGGTTATTGAGATCTTTTAAAATAAGGAAAGAACAATTTAGACATTTTTTAAATTTTCATTAATGGCAGGAGGTGTCGCTAAGCACACGCGCCAAATCTTAAGGGATGCTCTACATGCGTGTAATTTGCCCAAACTTAAAGGAAGGTAAGTGTAATTTACCCATTTACTTAAATGGGAATAAGGGGTTGAGAGAATAATTTTTATTGATGCCACAAAGTCTATCACCTTAAATGTGAGGTAATTTAATCATAGGCGGTCCTTTTAAGTTGAAAACTCAGTTCAAATTATGAATGAATTTATCCAAATTCATCATGTTGGAATATAAACCTTCTTAATTCATGAATTTTGGGGTTTGAACACATTTATGAAAATTCACTTTAGAGGTCTATATAAGAGCACACTTTCCTGGTAAAGCATGTTTAAATATGGATCAAGTATTGTTAAATTTAATCCCATTTCATACTCCGGTTTTGTTAACTTAACTCTAAGTTCAAAAGTTTCTCTTTTAATCTTCATAATTGGGCATTTTGAAAAGAGATCAAGTGTTGCACTCAATAGTGTATCGTGCAAATATACTGTAATCGAGTCCAAACTTAGTTGAATATCAAATATAAAACTGTCATGATCCCTTACATTCGACTATTTTTAAGAAGTGTTTACAACCTCCAAGTTATGGTCCAAATTTTCTGCAAATTTTATTTCCGTCAAGTGCAAGTGATTTTCATGATTTACCATAATCACCTTTTCAACATGTCCTACGTACCAAACTTATATGCATGTTTAGGACATCAGATATAGAAGTTATTATTTGATCCCGGGGCCAATGAGAAAATGTGGAGACCTAAACCTATAAATCGTACATGATGCTCTTGACAAGTCTTTATCATTCATTTTCTTGTTATCAGGTATTTATTTATTGAAAGCCACAATAATAAATAATAATAATAATAATAATAAAAGCCTTTAAAACGGAAGGAAGACAAATTATTCATGTAAAAAGTTGAGTTTTATGTCAAAAATAAACTCGTAGCAGAAAGTGCCACGCACCAAAAATCTTTACATGGTTCATATGGCCATCATCGGAAATAATATATTCATTCAGGCTGGGTGGAGGCAGTTATATCCCGGACTTTGGACTTTGCCTTTTTTTTTTATTGGCAAAAACACACGCTGACTCTCACATTTTTTGCCCACACCCGAGGTGGAAACCCTCCCCTCTACTTTTAAGGTGGTGCTTTCAATACACAATCTTTGGTAACGTAAAGCACTCCCCTCTCCGTCTTCAATTTAAAACAGTTTGGAAATTGTGTATTAATCAAGCTCTTTATTACAGAAAAAAGCTATGTGTATGTGTGCGTGTGTATATATATATATATATATATATATATATCACTGTTTCTTACCCCCAAGTCTCTCTGGCTTACTTTCCATTCCATGCATGTAATTAATTTACCACATTTCTAAATCACTCAAAAAATTCACCAGATCCTAGATAGGTACATGCATTTATCATACTTAAGTCTAAGAAGAAGCGCCACTTCTGAAAAAAAAAAAAAACATGCTCTTGCAAATTGCTTGAGACACACAAATGAATTTTACTGGCAATCTCCAACGATGTTATCAATTACTATACAAAAATTACCCACCAACAACTAAGCTATATCGCCACTGAAGCCAAATCTACTTTTCCTTTACAATGTCTATGAATGTTTGTTAAACCCATACATGTTATCCACCAAACCAACCCAAATAATTCTAACAAGTATAACTTCAGCTAAATTTTGTTATCCGTAGTTAGAAATGTTACTTGGAAGTTTATACACAGAAGAAACACATAAAATGCAAATGAATCGTTTGACTATAATTAGTAAAACTTGTTACAAACAATTATTAGGCAAATAAAAAAAAAAAAAAAAAATGATGGCTAGAAATATAATGTAATCAGATTAGTGGAAACCAAACCACAACACAAAGATATTCTTCTTCATCAAAAGCACACAAGAATACAAAATATGCTCCGACTTAGAAAACCTGGTTATATTCGCATTAGTCGAGAACTCGGAGATATCACTCAGGTATACATCAGTACTTGATCATCCGGTCCAGCAAGCATCACCTGCCCCATTCAAATGTTTAGTTTATTACGATCTATGATTATGGTAACTTTTCAAAAAAGGAAATCCTGATTTAATGTTAAATATCTTCCTTCTTAATTGGTTTCCCATCACCATTCCCAAGAAAATAGAAAATAAATAAAGCAAGAGTTGCTGAAAATATGAGGAAGTCCTCAACTAGATTTTTAGCATTGGATTGGGGATCGTCATTTTTCTTAATTGATACGCATAAATGATATTAGAGGCTTCAAATAAAACATGCTGGCTAAAAGTTTGGGTAAAGAAACAGTTTCTTAAATTTAGGGTATACTTCCTCTAAATATCATTATCATCCTTGCCTTGTTCCCATATCCATAGGGTTGGCAACATGAATTCTCTTTTTCCATTCTTTTCTATTGTAATCAGGCTTCCTCTAAACATATGGAACTCTTTTATTCCACAGTTTTGGTAAAGTTCCCAAGAAAAATATAAAGGTGCTATAGATAGTATCATGTTAGCAACTGAAAAGGAAAGCAAAAGCTACATACATTACAGTCAAGAGCGTATCGCCTGGCAAGCATAATGGCTGCATTTCTTTCTCGCTCTGATTCAAACACTAGCACAAAGGATTGTCCTTTCCTTGCTAGCCAAAACAATGACTTAGCTGCAGAATTACCACCGCCTCTAAACCCACAAAGCTGGAGGCCAAGAAAGAAAGGAGTAATTAATATCTGTTGGAAGAAGTGACCCATTACCTTGTAAACTTGTGTAGTGCAATGATGGTATGTAGTTCCACAAGAAGCTCGAGCCTAAAGGAGACAATCCCATCAAAGGGGAAACTTCATTCTAATTCAACTCCTTCCTTTCTTTCTTTCATGCAACAAGTATGCAAGTGCGTGCACACACATACACAGGCTTATTTGAGCAAGCAAAAAAAAGAAATTTTTTAAAAAAAGTTTAAAACATTGGACATAGACATAGCCTCAATTGCGTCTTTATATAGAGATTAGGGATGTTCATCCTCTGCAAGGGAGCATTTACATAAATGAGGCCTCACCCAAGTTGCAGAACAGGTGAAACAATGTCATGTGATAACTCAAAATTTTCCTCTACATGCAACAAAAATAGGGGGGGGAAAATCGGTGGTATGAAGGAAAAACCAACTCATTTCAAAATGCAACGTAAAAGACGATGGAATACTTTATCTAATGGGACATCCCAGCATGCGGCTCAACTAATTTCCAATATTTTATTCATTTCCCAGCAACAGAAAGTACCTGCATTGATGTAGAATAGGACTCCCTTGCCTTTGTAATCCACCCTTTACAAAGCTTCATCCTCATTTTCCCCACATGAAACAAGTGGACAGAATGTGACGAATAATTTTGGCCATTCATCTGGGCAATAACTACCTGTAGACTAATAAATTAGAGAACAGATAACATCTAAATGATACAAGAATTCCGATCACATGAACTCACACAATTAACCAATCTCCCAGACAGACAAGTGTCTGGGTATCATAATTTGATCGCACACTTGGTGAATAATGATAAGGATTTGGAGACCACAGGTTTTAGGTTGGTAAATATTAGTTTAGATAACAATAAGCTGTAATTATTGAACATTGAGCAGAGTCAGTAAACTGCTTTGTTTCTTCTGAAACAACTTCTAAATCTTCCTTATTAGGATCAAACTCTCTTAATCTATGTACACTAGCTTCGGTTAATGCAAAGACACAGAAGAGAGAGAAATCACCCTTAATTCCTGTGACAGAAAACCATATATACAAATGACTTTGGTTTGTCATATATAGGATTAAATGTGGCCATGTGTATGTGATTTATAGTGGGACACATTGATATAATCACTAGATAATAATTAACCGCAAAATCTTTACACATTGTCATTTGTCTACTCCATAAAATTCGAGTGTGTTGGATTGTTTTAAAGATCAATTTTCTAAAATGTGTTACAAATTCAGTTTGCGGACAATATGGCAATACTTTCATCTACCGGATTATATTTGTTGTGCATATGTGACTTCAAGTGGGACCGGATGATATAGTCATTCGAGAAGAATTAATCACACCATCTTTACACCTTGTCAAGTGACTGCTTTATTAAATTTGAGTGTTTATTGGATTGTTCTTAACGATCAATTTGCAAAGGCATGTTGTGGATTCGGCTTATGGAAAATATGAGAGCACGAAGAAGCAGCGGCTGAGATTGTAGAGTCAAGTGAACAATAGCGGTAAACTTCCTTGTTCTTGGGGGTTCCATTTCGTGAGTGAACATGGTAAAATAGTGGCACTGCTCATGAAGTCAAGTGGGTAACTTGTGTATAACACATTCCTGTTTCCCCATAATGGAGTTTTGCACATAAAATCATGTCTATATTGTAAAGGTCGTCAATTTATTATCCATTTAATTGTGTAATTTATGTAATTGATTATTAATGAGCATAATCATCATATTTGACCTACTCACCAATCATCACATGAGAAATGCTGTGATTTTATAACGCCTAAAAAGTCAGCACCTAACATCCTGGACTAATCCCGTGCCTTTTCCCTCTGTCAATATTTCATTAAACAATTAGCATCTACATTAGAAAAAATGATTTCTACACTTAATTGTCACTAGTTAGGTTACCACTCATACATGGAGCAAGAGTGAGAGCAACAATTTTCAAAATATCCTATAGTTGAGAGAATCTCAAGAGCAGCGGTAATGCACACAAATGAATCAAGCTATACATGAACAGTTCAATATTGACTCACTAAAGGCTTGACTTTTATTCGTTCATTAAGTAACAAGCCAATCTTGATTAAGGATGATTCAGATGAAGCATAGATAAGGATACAACATGATACAGACACGGCCATACACAAAATTCTTAAAAGGAAAAAAAAAAAAAAAAGATTCTAGGGCGAGGATATATGCGTATGTATTGTATTCATGTATATTTGTACAAATATTAAAATATATATATCTACAAGTTCTAAAGAGTAATTGTTCATCATACTACATATTATTAACATTTCCCAATGAAAAATCATGTCAAACAAGTAGAGAATTATGTTGCATGCACATAAATTTTAGACTAAATTAGACATGATATACTCTCATTATGCTTCACTTTTAAGAAAATCTGTGTACTTGGAACCTGTATTATACCTTTCCAAACAATTATATGATTATATTAGTTGTCTTTTGGCGAAGCCAAGCCAATTTCGGCCTTTTGGTTTTTTGGGGGTGATAGTGGAATGCTTTAAAAAGTCACATTTTGGAAAATATTGGACACGTATCCTTGAATATCAAGTGAGTTTTTATATCTGATACAAATACAATAAAATACAGCTCCCTCATAAATGCCAATGTGCTTAAGAATTGAATAGTCCCTGTAAATCATTTTTTAACAAGATAAGCTTAAAATAGCTTCTGTATTCATTAGTTGATTTGTCCAAACAATGGTGATGACATGGGATAATTATGAATAGCATCGAAGGCTATAGAAGTGATTTTCCAAGAGGGATTCTTGATCGTGTAGACTAGGGTCAAAGTTAGATGAAATGGTGCTGTTAGAGTTATAGGGTGTTTAGTGTTTTACTTGTTTACTTATTCTAACTTGGTATTAGAGCAGTGTGTTAAAGCCTAAAACCCTCTGCAGAAAATTGAAGTACACAGGAAAGGGTTGAAGTTTCTGACGCATCAGTGACAACATGCTGATGTCAGCATCAAACTTGATTATACAGCCCGGATTGCCTGAATTTTCTGAGATTTCAGATGGTATTTTCGACTCATATTGAAGCTGTTTAGCTGTTTTTTTTTTTTTTTTTTTTTTTTTTTTTTTCCTTTTTCGAAAGAATTTCTGGATTTCAGCCATGTTTGTTTCGATCTGATTTTAGGAGGGCTTTCAGTTGTTTTTGTTGGCTGAGATCCATCCTATATGATGCGTTTTTTTATTGGAATATACTTTGATTACTGCTTGATGGCTGTTTTGTTGCATTTGGATCGATTTCTTTGGCTCTAAGGGGTTCGATTGAGGTTGTCTCTGTTGTCAGGGGCTTATTTGTTATTACTTATATAATGTTGGGGCTTATGTGTAATTTCTGAAACTTGTTATTATAAATAGAATGTGGTGGAAGGATGAAAGTATTCTTTCATTCTCTCTCTCTTTCCCCATCTCTTTTTCTTCTTCTTCTTTATCACTTACTTTTGATTTGATTATATCTTAAAGTCAACATGGTATTACAGCATGGTTTGTAAAGCTCTAGGTTTGTAGTTGAAACCCTAGGGCAAGTTTGTGTAAACCCTAGTGGGTGTGAAGGGTTTTGAAGAGATTCCAAGATCGGATTTCTTTTTTTTTTTCTCTCATCCATGGTTCCCGTGGTGGTGGTCATTCTAGTGGACGTGGAGATAGGAAATGTGATCACTGTGGTGGTACGAATCGTACTAACCTTATTGTTGGGTAAAATATGGCAAGCCATATTATGTTCATCAGGCTATTGATGGTACTTCACAGTCATAGCCTTGTACTGGTTCTGGACATGTAGCTTCCGATTCTATTCTCGTGATGCCCTCACCGCTCAACTTAGCGAGCTTATTCAGACATTACAAACTACTTTTCCATCCACTTCCACTGCTACCTTAGCCAACTCAGGTAATGTTGCATGTGTGGCCAGGTCATCTCCATCTTGGGTTACTGACTTTGGAGCGAGTTCACATATGTTTGGTATATCATCTCTCTTTTCTGATTTGAAATCTGTTAACCACCACATTATTTTAGCTAATGGATCTTCTCGTCCCGTCCTTGGGAAAGGTGATCTTGACCCTACCAATTCATTATCTTTATCTTCCAGTCTCTATGTTCTTCATTTCCCTTTTAATTTGTTTTCTGTAAGTCAACTGACTAAAGCATTACACTGTTCTATAACCTTTTCTCCCATATCATGTGTTTTTCAGGACCTCATGACAAAGAAGATGATTTTTTCGAGGCATGAGAAGGACGGGCTTTATTATCTAGATCCTGGTGAACATCCATTTGTTTTGTCATCAACCTTGACTGCTACAGACCCACCTCTGCAGTGGCACTTTCGTTTGGGTCATCCGTCCTTGGCCAAGTTGAGATTAGTTATTCCTACCTTGAGTCACATGTCTGTTTTAGAATGAGAAGCTTGTCAGTTGGGCAAGCATCACCGTAGTTCTTTTTTGCATCATAGTCATAGTCGTAAAATTGAGTCATTTGATGTAGTCCACACGGACATCTAGGGTCCTTCTAAAACTACAAGTTTGAATGGATATCGTTATTTTGTTATTATTTGTTGATGATTATTCTCGCATGACACAGCTATTTTTAATGAAAGAGAGGGGTCGAAGTTACCTCATATTATTACTAAGTTTTAAAATGAAATTCTTACTTAGTTTAGTAAATGTATTAAAATTATTCGATCTAATAATGCCTTGGAATATATACAATCTGCCTCGAATTCATTTTGTGTTGATCGGGGTATCATTCACCAGAATAGTTGTGCTCGTCAGCCTAGTTGTGCTCACACCTCTCAACAGAATGGTGTTGCTGAACGTAAGCATCACCATCTGTTGGATGTGGCTCGTACATTGTTACTCAATATGCAGTAACCTAAGAATTTTTGGGGTGGTGATGTTCTCACGACTTGTCACCTTATTAATCATATGCATCTACTGTTGTGAATAATCAGAGTCCTTTTTCTTTGTTATATCCTGATGCCTCTCCTTTTTCGCTCACGCCCGTGTATTTGGTTGTGTGGCATTTGTTCATGGATCCTGGGCATGACAAATTGTCTCGTTGTGCGTGTAAGTGTGTGTTTCTTGGGTACCCTGCACTCGGAAAGGGTACCGTTGTTATAGTCCTAAATCCCGGCGATACTTTGTCAGTGTTGATGTTACTTTTTTTTAGTCTACTGCTTTCTTTCCATCACCTGGCCAGAATTTGTCTCTGGATCTCATATCTCCTCGTGAGGGGGAGCCTTCCTTTTCTTCTCCTACACTGTCGATGTCATTACCTCCACCTTCTTATCCTCCATTGTACGTTTACAAGCAATCCAAATCTCGGCCGGTTGTTTCTTACAGTCCAAACATGACATCTTCTCCACCAGAGGTTCCTGTACCTCCACCCTCCACTTCTGATGATTTACCAATTCTTTACGTCGAGGTAAACGTACTTGCATTCAACATCTCATTGCTAATTTTATGTCTTATCATCGTGTTTCCTCGACCTTGCAGTCTTTTGCTTTTACCTTGTCCTCTATTTCTATTCCCTCATCTTATCAATAGGCTTTATCTATGTCTGGATGGAAACACGCTATATTTGATGAATGAATGCTCTTCACAAGAATCAGACGTGGGTGCTTACAGCTCTTCCTTCTGGAAATGAACCATTGGGTGTCGTTGGGTTTACACTGTTAAGTATCATCTTGATGGTTCTGTTAAGCGTCTTAAGGCGCGTTTGGTTGCCAAAAGATACACTCAAACCTATGGGATTGATTACTCAGAGACATTTTCTCTTGTAGACCGTCTTAACTCTGTCCGTGTTCTTCTGTCTGTGGCAGCCTGCCATTCTTGGCCTTTATATCAGCTTGATATCAAGAATGCATTTCTTTATGGCGATCTATAGGAGGAAGTTTATATGGATCAGCCACCTGGTTATGTTGTTGCTGGTAGTGAGCACCTAGTTTGTCGTTTGTGCAAGGCTCTATATGGTCTGAAGCAGTCTCCTCGTGCCTGGTTTGATAGATTTAGTACTGTGATGATTGATTCTGGTTTTAAGCGCTCCACTTCATATCATTCTATGTTTGTTCATCATTCTTCTGAGGGCACCATTGTCTTGATTGTGTATGTTGATGATATTATCATATTTGGGAGTGATTCCATAGGAATTGCAAAGTTGAAACGTCATTTGGGTCAGCGATTCCATACTAAAAACCTAGGTGCACTTCGCTATTTTCTTGGGATTGAGGTTGCTCGTTCCCGTCAGAGTATCTCACTCTCTCAACGGAAATATATTCTTGGTCTACTTTATAAGACTGGTCTCTTAGGTGCTCGACTTGCAGACACTCCTATGGACTCTACCATCAAACTTACAGTGAGCAAGGGGAGTCGTTTATTGATGTTGGACGATATCGTCGCCTTGTTATTAATTTATCTAACTGTTACTCGTCCCGACAATACTTATGTTCTTGGAGTGGTTAGTCAATATATGCATGCTCCTCATCAACCTCACTTTGTGGTTGTTTGTCGTATTTTGCGTTATTTGAAGGGTGCGCCTGGTAGTGGGCTGTTTGTATAAGCCTTCTTCCTCCTTATCTGAGTTTGCTCGTTCTAGTGCTGAGGCTGAGTATCGTGCTATGCCCACACCGCTTCTGAGATGTTGTGGGTTCGCCCTCTTCTCCAAGAGATGGGTATTGTTGTTCCTTCCCCTATGCCTATGCATTATGATAATCAAACAGCTATCTTCATTGCTAGCAATCCTGTTTTTCACAAGCGTACCAAGCATATAGAGGTTAATTGTCATTTTATTCATGTCCTACTGATGCGGAAGCAGATTGTTACTCCTTATATTTGCTCACGCGGTCAATTGGGTGATATTCTTACGAAGCCATTAGCTCGTGGTGCCTTTCAGCGGTTGTGTTTCAAGCTGGGCATATTTAATATGTATGCTCCAAGCTTGAAGGGGAGTGTTAGAGTGACAGGGTGTTTAGTGTTTTACTTGTTTACTTTGGGCCATTATTGTAATTTTCTTATCTCTCTCTAGAAACCCTACATCTGTCAAATTACGTTCTTTATTTTTCTTCTTCTTCTCTTCCTTAAATCTAAATCGCATACACAGATTCTAAAAGGTGCAAAACACTTGATTCTAGGCATGGTTCATCATTTATTGTAGCAATGAGTGTAGTCAATGGTGAGATTAGCCTGCCATAGCCCATTGTTACTCAACTGAGAATAAAGTGCGCTTCGAAGCCATGTCCGTATCATATACAGGCTCTTCTTCGACACTCTTGAACACATTTTCGATAAATCTGGTACGATCCTTTAATTTAGAAATAGAATTCTTTATGACCTTTATTCAGTAAAATGGGGACCATCGCAGGGTGAAGTGGTAAATGCTCGGGCTGTCAAGTGTGAGAATAGAATCAGGGGAAAAAAAAAAAGAAGTGTGAGAATAGAATCTTGAGAACAACCACTTTGTACAAATAATGCTAAAGGTTAGGTCTGTGACCACCCCCTCAATTAACGAAGATCACACTGGGTAATGGCCCTCTAATTGTTCACTATAATATAATTATCATGAATAATTTAGGGAGCTCATACTTCGAGATAGTTAATTTTTTTAGGAAAAAATGACAAAACGCTCTTTAAATATCCTATAAATTAAGTCAAGTCCCTCGAGGACACAAATTTAGCTGTTTCAACTTTCAAAAGAGGCTCCACATACCAAATTATATGATAATAGCTCTTTGCCATCGTACTAGTTTGGCCCGACAAGATACCAAAATTGGAAGCAGGACATGCAGGTTACGGACTAAGTTGATAGAGCAAACTGAAATTTATCATGACTTTGAAGCCTTTCAGTTTCTATTTATTCTTCATTAACAGTTAAAAAAATTAAACTTATAAAAAAAAAATAAAAAGGTGAAAAGGTATGCCAATCAGATCTAGATGCTGGCATGATGGTTATACCGAAAAGCAGCCAAGTCCAAGTGAAAAAAGAAAGGCTCAACCATACAAGGTTTGAGTCATGACCTCAAGTTTAAAATTTAGATCACAATATTTTTTACCTCAGAACACAAGAAATAATTAATTTGCTAATATTGGAAATGCTAGTGAAGAAAGAAGTGACGTACACTGAATTCGGTATTGGGTTTTCGCAAAAGTGTCTCCACATAACTTCCCAAGCCCGCAGCTGTTTGAAACAGCTTAATCAGACTTTTATTCTCAGTCTAGTAAGCATCAAAATAGGGACGTGACAAGCATATGACTTATGATCAAAGTAGCCTAATAAAGGCAATTTCAGCTGAAAGAAATGAGAAATGGCAAAAGGAAAGAAAAAGAAAAAAGACATGCCAAAAGTGGGTTTGAACAATTACGTAGATCATGTTGAACCTTCGTGGTACCAACCTGACACAATGGGACCAGCAGTTAGCACAGCAACTTTTTGGCCATTTGAAACAATATCAGCTTCCAAAAATCGTCCAACGTCAAGAGGCTCAAGAGCATAAATTGGTTTATTGGCACCTGATGAAGTAGATACTCAAGTCAATTAAGATAAAGCACATGACACGCAAGAGAAAAAGATTATTGAGCAGTTATTGATACTTTGGTACTTGAAAGGGTGGAAAATCTAGCAATTATTACAGTAGCATATGAACATTAGATTGGGTTCCACAGTGTGTTTGTAAAAAGTACCATAATTGAGCTACAAAGTCCTAATTAGAAAGGATATTTACTCAACCATATACATCACTGAAAAGCCAAGTAAATCATAGAATGTTGAAAGAGATACAAGTGATCCAAATACTTCATGAAAACTTGTATTATACCAAACTCAAAGGCATATCAGAATACTTTTTCAACCTACCATCTCTTCAAGAAACAACAATTATTGGTCTGGATTGACTAAACTATATCAGCACTACCTATTTTACCATGATTTATCAGCTAACCATTCCTAAAAGAAAACGCCAAAGGAAAAATACAAGAGAGTCAGCCATGCAAGCTATATTTCTACCTAGTATGTGAGCATCATACATTTCAAGAAGACTTTAGCCATATGACTAGAACATCTAACAAACTGGAATATCTTACTATAATGAAGAGAAAGCCTTAATAAGATAAAGGAATTTCACTGACTTGATATGAAATGGTCCCCACTGAGACCACAATTTTCAGTTTAAGCAACCAATGTAATTTGGGATATGAAGAGGATGAAAAGTATCTGTGGCAATTGTGGAAGGGGAGAAATTTTTTTCCACTTTAATGGAGTTGGACGACGGGATCCTATCAACATCCTTGAAAAAGCGAAGTTCTATTTCAATGAGTTTGAAGGTAATTGTCAACTTGATAAATCTTTTCACACGAATCTTCCCCATACTCATTCTGTTACAAAGAAGCGGTCTCCCCCTGAGATTGAGAGTCTTAAGCTTAATGTGGATAACTCTTTTAATTCCATCTGTGATTCTTGTGGTGGTGGGATAGTGCCAAGAGATGCTAGAGGACGGGCTTTGAAGATAGCTACTCTTTTTATATCTAGCAAGTTTCGGAGAGAAAATATGATGACAGAAAACAATCTTGTCAAAACACAAGTCTAATAGTAATTAATCCCAAAATTTGAAAAATTGAGTCAGCAAAACATAAAACCTTTTCAACTTGTGTGTTTAACATACAAAACCATTTCTAGTGTTTTTGTTAAAATATCTTTATGATTATTATTTTTTATTTTTATTAGTTGTTTTTAGCCTTTTATTAGGTGTTTTATGTAAGATCCCTATAATCATGGTATCACGTAGATAAGATCCCCATAATCATGAGATCCCTTAGATAAGATCCCCGTAATCATGGGATCATGTAGATTTTGGCATATTTTCTGTTTTTCTTTGATTTGGTTTCCTTTTTTTGTAACCTATTCTTGTATATAAATATAGATCTTAGCTCTCAGTTTAAGTAAGACAAAACCCAAAACTTCTTCTTTTTGGTATCAGAGTAAAACAAAAATCTTCGCCTCCCTATCTTCCTCGTCAACGCCGCCACCTTCTCTCTCCCTCTCTCCATTTTCCCTCGCCTCCAACGCACCTCCATCTCCTCCCAGCCCTTGCGCCGGACCCCTCGGGTAAACCTATGTTTTTGACTCCTTTTTTAGGAGAAATCCCTTAGGTTTTTTTATGATGCAATGGTTCTTCTAGTGTTTTTGTTTTCTTTGTGGGTTGCCGGTGTTTGTTTGGCAGCATATTTGGAGGAACGCGCCGATTTTTCCGGCCTTATTTTTCTCTTTCCTCCCTCTTCGACGTGTGGACCAGCCTTATTTTGGTACTATGAGTGATTCTAGTAGCCAAAAGGACACTTTATCTTCAGGCTGTGGCCGCATTGCCGCAGTAGCTGATACTATTGGTGGATATACTACTCCACTGATTGTTGTCCATCCTGCTTCAACTACTCCCAGACCATCTTTTCAGGACTCCAAACAGTTACAGTCCCAGATTGGTCTTCTTCAGGAGCAGTTCGGAGCCTTATCTACTAGGGCCGACTTTTCTACTCCCACGACTACTATAGCTACAGGTACTCCTTTTGCTTATCATGTTAAAGCGGGGAAACCTACTTGGGTTCTGGATTCCGGAGCCAATGATCACATGACTGATGAGTTGTCATTATTTTCTACTCTCGTTACCCCTGTTAATCAGGCTGTTAGTCTAGCCGATGGGTCAACCACCATTATTCGTAGCATCGGAGATATTCATCTATCCCGTGATATTATTTTGACATCTGTTCTTTATGTTCCTAACTTTACATTCAATCTTCTATCTGTTAGCAAACTTGCCAAACCACTAAACAGTGTAGTGATTTTCTTTCCTCATTACTGTGTTTTAAAGGACCTGTGCTCAAAGAGGATTTTTAGCCGAGGATATGAGCATGATGGCCTCTACTACTTTAGGGATCCTCCACCGACACCTCCTCCACTTGCTTCAAGCCTCTGTTATTCCAGTTTCCAGGTCTTATGATTTTTCTTTTCAGACTTTGAGTTTATGACACGCTCGCCTTGGGCATGTAAACTTTCAGTATGTATGTCTACTGTTCCCTTCATTAATAATGGCTTGTAAGGATAATAAGTTTCAATGTAAGATTTGTAAGCTTTCTAAACATACTAGAACCAATTATATTTCTCATATGCATCGTGCACCTAGAATGTTTGATCTCATACATTCTGATGTGTGGGGTCCTTCTGCTGTTACTGCTTTTTCGGGGCATCGTTATTATGTCACATTTATTGATAATTATTCCCGTGGCACATGGGTATATTTACTTAAAAAGAAATCTGAAATTTTTCCATTGTTCACTCAATTCCTCCAAATGATCAAAACTCAATATAAAATTGTTGTTAAGAATATTAGGTCTGACAATGGTCGTGAATATGTTTCCAATGAGTTTCAGTCTCAACTTAACCAACATGGTATTCTTTATCAGCTTACTTGCCCATATACCCCTGAACAGAATGGTGTTGCAGAGCGTAAAAACCGCCAACTAATGTCAGTTGTTCGATGTCCTTTAAGTGGCATGAACGTGCCAAAGTCATACTGGCACATAGCGGTTCTTACAGCTACTTTTCTCATTAATCGTACCCCTAGTAGAGTCGTAAATGGTAAGGTCTCCTTACAAGTGCTTCAGCCTGATACTACTCTTCCATCATACCTCGGGTGTTTGGATTTAAATGTTTTGTTTAGAATCGTAATCCTTCTCGTACTAAACTTGATGACAAGGCCATTAAATGTATCTTTTTAGGATACTCTTCCATGTCAAAAGGTTACCGATGTTATGATCCAGTACACAAACACATGTATCACTCTCTTGATGTCACCTTTCATAAGCACACCCCTTTTTATGGTTCTAACACTATCTTGCATGAAACTTCTACTCTCAATCAAGAGGCTTCTCCTCTTGCTCGTCCTCTTCCTATTTTTCAAGAAAAGTCTTCTCTTGTGGTTTCCTCACCCCCTTTGCAGGTCTATTCACGTCGCCCTCGTGCTCCGCCTCCACTGCCTTCATCCTCCTCAGATTCAGGTTCAAGTACATCTCTCTCTCCTATACATTGCCCTGACCATGTTCCTGTTCCTGAGTCTCGATATCCCACTCGGGACCGCAAACCCCCTGCTCGATTTGGATTCGCTTGTAGTACTGATCATCCTTTCGCAATATATCTCTTATGATGGTCTTTCAGGGTCTTACCGAGCCTTTCTAGGCAAACTTGATTCCATTTCCATTCCCATAAAGTTGTTTGAGGCTCTCCGGAATCCCAATTGGATGTCTGCTATGAAGGTAGAAATGGATGCTTTGCAGCATAATGAAACATGGGAGCTTGTATCTCTCCCTCATGATGAAAATACTGTTGGTTGCAAATGGGTATTCAGTGTTAAATATTAGGCTGATAGCTCTATTGATCGGTATAAAGCCCGTTTGGTGGCCAAAGGGTTTACTCAGATTCCTGGTAAAGACTTTAATGATACCTTCTCTCTAGTGGCTAAATTGACCTCAATTCGTTTGCTTGTCTCCCTAGCTGCCTCTCACAATTGTCCCCTTCATTAGTTTGATGTGAAGAATGCTTTCCTTAACGGTGATCTTTAGAATATTTACATGGATCCTCCACCCGATTTTTGGGCTGAGGGGGAGTATGCTGGAAAGGTCTGTCGATTGCGGAAGTCTTTGTATGGATTAAAACAATCTCCCAGAGCTTGGTTCAGCCGCTTTAGTGATGTAATTCTATCGATGGGGCTTGTTAGATGCCATTCTGACCATATATCTTTTATCCACCATTCCTCCAATGGTCGATGTATCATTCTGCTTGTCTGTGTTGATGATATCATCATTACTGACAATGACATCCATGGGATTGCTCAAGTAAAGCTTCAATTGGCTAAAGTTTTTGATGTGAAAAACCTTGGCCAGCTCAGATATTTCTTAGCAATTTCTTGGCAATTGAGGTTGCTAGATCTAAGCAGGATATCTGTTTATCGCAAAGGAGGTATGTCTTGGATCTTCTTCGAGACACAAGTATGCTTGGGTGTAAACTTGCTTTCACTCCTATGGATCCTAATCTAAATATCTCGGCTGAGTCCGGAGATCTCCTTTCTGATCCCTCGCAGTATCAGCGCTTGGTAGGAAGATTGATTTATCTTACCAACACCCGTCCTGATTTGGCTTTTGCGGTTAGTGTTGTGAGCCAGTTTATGCATGCTCCTCGTACATCTTATATAGATGCGGTATATCATATTCTTCGATATCTTAATTCCTGTCCTGGACTTGGATTATTGTATTCTTCTAGTAAGCAAGTTGGGCTATCTTGTTTCAATGATGCAGACTATGCTGGGTCCAAGACTGACAGACGTTCCACATCTGGCTTCTGTACTTTCTATGGAGACCATCTTATATCCTGAAAAAGTAAGAAACAACTTGTAGTTTCGAGATCTTTAGTAAAGGCTGAGTATTGTGCCATGGCTCAGGGTACTTGTGAGATTCTCTGGCTTCGATCTTTCTTGGAGGAGCTAGGGCTAGGGGAAAAACAGTCCTCAAACTTGTTTTGTGATAATAAGTCAGCCATCATGCTTGCTTCAGATAATGTTCTTCATGAGAGGACGAAACATATAGAGGTGGACATTCATTTTATTAGAGAGAAGGTTCGTTCGGGAATTATCAAGCCGTGTTTTGCTCGTTCCTCTAATCATTCAACCGATGTATTCACCAAATCAATTGGTCCATCTTTGCTTCATTCCTTGATTACCAAACTGGGCTTGATTGATATCTTCACTCCAGCTTGAGGGGGGAGTGTTGAAATATCTTTATTATTATTATTATTAACTGTTTTTAGCCTTTTATAAGGTGTTTTATGTAAGATCCCTATAATCATGGGATCACGTAGATTTTGGCATATTTTCTGTCTTTCTTTGATTTGCTTTCCTTTCTTTGTACCCAATTCTTATATATAAATATAGATCTTGGCTCTCGGTTTGAGTAAGCCAAAACCCAAAACTTCTTTTGTTTTGATACATCATTATGAATTGACTCTTCATGTTCTTATTTCATTGGTTAAAGTTAATAATAGATCTGATGCATAAAAAATAATAATAATGATAATCAGGGATTTGGACAATAAGAATGAAACCAACCAGGCATTTGCTCTAATATTTCCATATAATATTTTACAGATTTGACAATTCACAAAAGCTTGCTCTGATTTTTTGCATTTGCTGTTTTTAGTCAAAAGAGAAATTTTATTCAATTTTTCTACTTTCCCATGGCACTACTAACCTACACCGAGTGCATTCTCATGCTTGTTTAGCCTAGATTACTCCAAGAATAATTCCATGTTTCATTTAAGTGGGTTCCATTATGTTATTCATCGCTTCTCTTCACAAATCACCGGAAAATGGAGATGACATGCGAGTGCTTTTATCGTTCTGCATATTTGCAATATTTTACACATTGAAACAATTACAAGAAATTGCTCGTGCGTAACACACTTAGGCTGGTCATGCAGAAACAATCTTATATTCACTAATGTAAGTCCGGATTCTTAGAAGATGATCAAAGCCTATGAAAATTCCTTCCCATGAGTGAACTTATGCAGGGTAAATGCATAAACAAGTAGCTGCCAAAGAGAAATGTATGGAACAAAAAATAGGCAAACACTTCCCAGGTGGCATTTACAAGAAGCCTAAAGTTTATTACTTTTAGAATTCCTTGTTGACATATAAATGAGTACTCAATTTTCATCTCACGGCAACAATCTCACCAGTTACAACTAAAAAAATGAAGCATATTCTTATTTTATGGGTGCATTTTGGGGGGTAAAAAGGGGGAAGGGGTCTAAGCGAATTACTTAATGATCGCTAGCATTAAACAACTACCTGATCATATGCATCAAACAATCTGTGATCAAAATTAAGACATCCTCAAATTACAAAAAGTCCATATTTGCAAACAACAGAAAGATAGAAACACAAAACTTGCAGTTTATGCTAAATGCATCACAATAAAAAATATAATTTCTTTTTAAGCAGTACCATTTACAGCTTGTCCAACTTGAGCACAGTGAAAAAGTAGCACATGTCAAAGATGGAATGAATACCTGAAATAATTTCCTTTCTGCTACCTTCAGACGGTACACGATACCACTGGATTGAACATTTTGAGACCTCTATAGCTTCGTGTGAGCGAGGTTGGACTCGTAAAAGTGAACCTAAAGTTTCTGACCCACCTAACTCATATAAACAGAACTTGTTCTCCTCAGCCCTCTTGCTTATTGCTAGCTGCAAATGTTAAAGATTAAGATATTGCAGCAAATGAGGAATGAAAAAATTATATCTCCCTCCCACATCTTCTTTTCGTAATATTAATGATTAGGCAAGTTCAGAAGAAGAAACAGCAAAAAAATTAGATGTCTGAAAACAAGTAGAAGACAATCCTATAAAATCAAAGCTGAAATCAACTAAAGGTAAGAAATTGAGAAAATAAGAACCAGTACCCATAAATTTAATGATAAAGTGTTCAGGAGATCAATAATGGAACCAAATAATTATACTCCAGCTATTTCCCCTGAATTACAGGGTAGCACAACAGTAAATTACATATAGGACTTTGTGTTACGGAAAAAATAAGAATAATAAACACCTATGCAGTATTTAGTAGGGGGGGAAAAAGATCTAATTTTCCACTCCCTGTACAACACCGTGGCTTTAAAATTTCAAACTCTTTATTGATAAGTGCAAAAGTTTCGAATTCTTAGGAAAATGAAGAAAATTTTAATTTAATGTAATAATCTTAATGGGATTATTGGGGAAACTAACTTACAAATATTTAGAAGACAATTCTATCCTTGTTTTTGTTATGGCTTTGTGTTTGCACAATATACTTTCTTAATTCTGCAACCATGGCAAAAGGAAAAGCTGAGTTCTCACGCATCTAGGAAGCACGGACACTTCTAGGAGAGCAATGTACCCATATCGGATACATGTCGGATACCAATACTCCACAGATACTCGCGGATACGTGTCCATACTTCTTAAATGTATCCAGAATTTTAAAATATATATTTTAATTTCTAACACGTATCCAATACTTTTTGGATACTTCTTAGGTATTTCGACTACGTATCTAACACTTCTCATACACTTCATCACACATTTTTAACAAGTTTGAACATTAAAATGCAACTTTTCCAACAATAATAACATAGAATAATTGTTAAGAAAAATTCAAATTTTATTAAGTTACGACTAGGGATGCTTGTTTTATGTGTTGTGAAACGAACTTCTATGTTATATTAATGATTGCATTCACATTCATAATATTTATAAAAAAATTGACCAAAAATTAATTTTTTATATATATAAAAATAAAATTTATAAATGTTGTATTGCCATATCCTGCTGTACCCGTATCTTATTTTTTTGATATTTGCCATATCGCCATACCCGTATTATGTCGTATCCATATCCCATATCCCATATCCGTATCTGTGCTTCCTAGTCACGCATGAAAACAAGTTCCAGCAAGTATGGTTGATTAACCTAACCATGATTTGAACCAGTATGGGACAATAGTGCATCACGGTGTGTGATTTTTCAAATTATTGTTTCCCATGCAGGAAATGGCCAATCTACATACAAACAATCCAAGGCAAGTGGGATGTGATGCACGGGTGTGCTTAAGAATTTTCAGAGAGCTAATATTTGTGATACTTAAGATTTTGCTGGTAGACTCAAATAATAAGTATTTGCTACACGAGCGCAATGCAATTAATTATTGAGTACTTTAGGGTAAAAGGATTCAATTTGGGAATTCATCACACAAACAGGAGCACTGGTGGTGACCGCTGGATGTACTTAAGAAAACTTGCAGATGGTATATATATAACTGAGTTGATAACTGGTATTCTTTTTTACATCATTCAAACAATTAAGAACAAGCTTTGGTGCCACATGCTTAAAAACATTATGAAAATACTAAAATTAAATATATGAGGAACTTCAAAATAGAGATATTACAATTAAAACTAATGCCCAATTATGTCAACTTCAAGGGAAAGTGAAATTCTTATGTGATTAAGATTATAATCCAGGCATAATTTGTTTTAATGGGGTCACTTATCAAAAAATAATAATATTAATTTTTTTTAATGGGAAATTGAATTAAAATAAGAAATAGCTCAACACAGCTGGGTGAGGCTGCAAATTATGTTCAATGTAATATTTGTGAGCTACATTATTGAAGAATCAGCATAAAAGGCTGCTACGGCCCTACGAAGTTCACACTCCAAAATAAAAAAAGAAACCACTTTCAATTCTTATGAAGAAGTGAAATTCTATCAGTGAAATAAAATTCTTATACAGCATGTACAGCACTATGGGATTTATTAATGCTACTATCTGTCATAAATGGAGTGGAGTTGTAGGAAATTCAGTTTTTAAGCCATTAAAATTTATTTATAAGTATTGGCTTGAGTGGAATATCCTCGACCTATCTAAAGGGTAGGTTGAGGGTGCAAAGCCCCGATGAGGGCACATTTGTGTTAGTATACTTATAAATATATATATTTTATATATTCATATGGAAAAAGAAGTTATTAAAATAAAACAGTTCAAACCTCCTTTTGCAGCTTCACCGAAAATGTAAACTTCTCTCGAATTTGAATTCTTAGTGCTCTGAGTTCATGTTCCATATCAATAACCTGCAAAACATTTGAGACTTTCTTATAAGAACAAGCGGTTATTCCATTGAAACAAAATATTCAACATCATAAACTGTAAAGGAAGTTCATAATTATGACAAACAAATAGAAAATAATTCATCGGTATCAACTGTGAGAACAAAGGGAAATGCACATTGCTAAGGAACATGAAAAACGAGCATCTGAGAGAGCGGGAGAGAATAAAGTGACAAAATCTAAAATTTCGTGAGAGCAAGAGCGCCCACAAAGAGCTTTGTACACTTATATACTATTATAGTTATAATATGTGCATGTATACAACACTTTTAATATTTGTACATATGCTAAAGCCGATTACCTAGTATAATAATAAAAATTTAATCTCAAAAGATAAGCATGAGTAAATGTGTTTGAACTATATGTCGTCATTATTTTCTATGTGAGGAGATATGTAATATTAGCAATAATTTAAAATATCAAAAGCTATACTGTATTTTCATTTTTTAAGAAACACGCGCCAAGAAATCTATGCATTAATTTTAGATTCTTAGAGAGATGCTATTTAAATTTTTATACATGAAAGAATTACTATAAAAATGAAATAAAATAAAATAAAATACAAAGCATCTTAACACCCACACCTATGTGATATATACACCCACACCTAATACAATTAGATTACTACATTAGTTTAAGAACTTATTTTGACACCTCTTATAATTAGGGTTTGTTACGACAAACACAGCGAACCCAGAAACAATCAAGAAACATGACAGGAAGTAAACAAGCCACACACAAAGAACAAAGAGATTTAGCGTGGTTTGGTAAAGCCTACATCCACGGTGAAGATCCGGTGAAAAAATTCACTATACGAAAATCTGAAGATTACAAGTTTCTGCCCTGAAACCCTAGCTCTCGCTCTCACTCTCTTTTCTGCAATTTTCAGTCTCTCTATATTCCAATTCCAAACCCTAAGCGCCCTTATATATCGGATTACAAGAGAGTACTAAATAGAGTCCACAGGCCGCAAGCAGAAAACCGGGTCAAAAAGTTTCCTCAAGACGCTGCCCCCGAACCCCCATGCGCTTAGGCCCACACAAAGCTCAATCAATGGTCGTTGGGTCGTAAAGCAACCCGGCACCAAATTCGGGCCATAACATCACAGGACTAGGTAAATAAAAAAATAATAATAATAACCAACATGAAGCTGACAACAATATGACAACGGTTTGTTATCCTTTCTTCATAAATGTCACATGGTATTGTATATCATTCAAGAAATGAGAAAACGTTACGAGTTTGAGGATTCACTAAGGGCCCGTTTATTAACGCTTTCACTTTCTTATTTTTACTTTCTCAAAAAGAAAAATCATGATTTTGATTTCTTCAACTGAAATTGAAAGTAAAATAATGTTCAATAATTTATTTTACTTTCAAAATTTTGAAATCAAAAAATAAGAAGTTTAATAAATTTAATTTTATTTTCCTGTTATATTCGTCTCTCTAATTTTTTGTTATCTTTCTCTCTCTAAAATGATTACTATGTTTACTTTGCTTGCTGTTACTTCCATCTCATCACAAAGAAGAAGAAAAATAGAATACGAGAAGTAGAATAGAGAAGAGAGAGAGAGAGAGAGAGGAAGAATAGAGAAGAAAGAGAGAGAAAGAGAAAGAGAAAGAGGAAGAGTCACGATACATCATTCTTTCTTGGTCATCTTGTGTGTAAGAGATGGGCAACACACAGAGGCTTCTTGCGTCTGAGATGGGAATTATTGTGTGCCAATGCCGGAATCCATGGAAATCAGAGCCTTGAATTTGGGTCTCCCTCTCGGATGCCGGAATCCACAGACAAACTTACTGGGACTAGAATTTTGGAGTATGAATTGCTTGTGGATGCGAATTTGGGTCTCCCTCTCCTATGCCCAATTGCCGGATTCCTTGCTCATATCGTCATAGCCTTGTCGCCGTTCGATCCACCGATAAGTTCAGTCTGGCCTCATCTTGGAGACATTCCTCGCCGCTTCAACACCTCCACCATCTCAAAACCCTCACTCACCATCACCCCCTCTCTGCGAATCCCATGCCGGCCCCGTCGTGCTTTGCGCCAAAATTCTGGGAAGCTTGCAAAAACCAAAGAAGATTTCGGATGTGGCGATGATGGCGGTGGTTGTCGACGTCGAAGGTCTGCTTTCGGTTTTTTTTTTTTTTTTTTTGACTGAAGTTGATTCAGGTATATTCATCGCTTTTAATGTGTGTGAGAGAGAAGAGAGATGGTTCTGGCAGTAGCTATGGTGGGAGAAGGTGGTAGTGGCAATGACCATGGTGGAGGGGATGGTGGTGAGAGATGGTTAGAATATTTTTTATTTTATTTTTATAAATAGTGCTACAGTAGAGAAAGTAATTTGTGTGAACAGTGTAGAAAATAGAGAAAGTAAGGATTTCTCACTTTCTGTTATCTTCACAAAATTAGAAAGTACTTTCTTAAAGCAAAAAAGTGAAAGTATTTTATTAAACATGATTTTTACTTTTACTTCATAATTTTAGGAATTGACAGTAGAAATCAAGAATCATTCCTGTAAGTAAACAGGCCCTAATTGAATTCGAGGATTCATAGAATTTAATTTACGAATTAGGGAAAGATTTGCTCCTAGAGAGCTAGTTTACGCATGGAATGTGAGAGCGAAACCCCTTTAAGACGATTGTGTGACTTAGCCACTACTAGCAAATGTCAGGCCCTAAAAATCACAAAATTGTGCCTCAAAGTAAAAGAAAATTAGCAAGAAAAAATAAAATAATTGTACAAATAGAAGCAAATTAACATGAACAAAATTAACACAGTAACCCCCAAGTCCCAAAACAAAAAACAATCCATACTTCTGAAGTGGTATCAAAAGGCTTACAAATAAATAAATAGAATTAAGTTCAAGCCATGAATTTCAATTAGGTCCGAAAATATGAAAGTAAATAGCAAAATATATAAATAGTAAAACAGAACAAGATGGCACTAAAAATGATAAACGTCGACCAAGAGGAATAAACCTTAAACAAATTAAAATTAAAAATAAAAATCACTTACATATGGCAGCACTTCCTAAAGGGCAACAATATGAACAGGAAAAGAAAACGTGGGAAAACAAGACATCATAAGACAAAAACAGAAAACTTATAATCTTGCCACTTCAAATCGTTCTTCAACTTATAAGTTGGAGCATGAATGCCCAACTTGCCATTGAGATGACGAGTAGCAAAACCAAATCTTCAATAATAGGAAACAACGTCAATTACTTAAAGATTTTCCTCCACTGATTTCTCCATTAAATCTTCAATTCTCCCCCTCAAGTTGGAGCATGAATGCCCAACTTGCCATTGAGATGACGAGTAGCAACAAGTGTGAATGATGAAGAGAGAAGACGAAGAACAATGCTACCAAACACACCGACAGCCCAAACAAGTCAACAAAAAATTGCCGGAGACACGGCAAAGACGAAGACAGTGCTACCGAACACACCGGCAGCCCAAACAAGTCAATAAAAACTACTGGAGACACGGCAAAGGTGAAGAACATTATTGCCGAACAAACCGGCAACCCAAACAAGTCACAAATAACACCGAGAAACTCTTAGCAACATTTCAGATGCTAAGGGAATACCCCAAAACAGGGGTCCAAACCTAGGAAGATAAATCAGGCTCTGATATCATGTTGTAAAGCATAAAATGGAAGCGAATGGAAATTAAACGAGTAGAACACACGAATATTACGTGGTTCAGCTACTAGGGCCTACATCCACAGCACAACAAAGGGCTACATCACTTTTGTAATACTCTTTCAATTTATACACAATACAATGTTGGAGGCTCCTTTATATAGGAGACGAAATTATGAGAATGGAAAGAGAGAAAATAGGAAATAAGGAGGATTTTTCTCCACTGATTCCTCTATAACACCAAATCTTCAATAATAGGAAACAACGTCAATTACTTAAAGATTTTCCTCCACTAATTCCTCCATTAAATCTTTAATAAATTAGAACCAACAAAAATACAACTACCAAAAGTAGAACGACAGTCATCCCGAGAGCCGCCCAATCAGCATCTGAATAGGCAAAGAGATGCATGTCTTTGATAGGAATAAAATGCAAGCCAAACTAAATTGTACCTTTCACATATCGAAGAATTCGTTTGACGACATCAAAGTGAGCTAAAGTCGGAGCATGCATAAAGAGAGATACTTGATTCACGACATAAGAAAAATCTGGTCGTGTGATAGTGAGATATTGGAGCCCTCCTACTAATTGTCGAAAAGGAGTACGATCAACAAGAGGAGTGCCATCATCTTTAGAGAGTTTAGTACCTGAGACAACCGGACTAGCAAGAGGTTTGGTGCCCGTCATGCCAGCACGGTCAAGGAGAAAAAGAGCATATTTAGACTGAGTGAGGGCAATAGACTAAGAAGAACGATCGGGCCTTATACCGTTCAATAGTACCATCTGGTTTTTGTTTGGTACGAAACACCTATTTACACCCGAGAACATTCATGTGAGGGTGGCGAGGAACAAGAGTCCATGTATGATTTTTAAGAAGAGCATTAAACTCTTCAGTCATAGCCTTATGCCAATGAGCATGTTTAGTAGCAACCGTAAAAGATGTGGGATTCGGGGAATGTCGGATAAGGTTGAAAGAAGGCAATAGGGTAGCAGGTGCTTGGTGGCTAGGAAAGCTTTTGGTTTTCGGATGCCTAACTTAGATCCGGTGATCACGGGATGAGTAGAGGTAGTATAGGGGGAGGAGGTTCAAAAATGGGAGAAGGTGGTGGAGAGGCATGTTATTATGGAGGCGGATTGTGATGAGACGTGGGAGGGGAAGAAAGCTCAATGGAAGGGGAGAGAGACTCGAGCGAGGGAGGTGGCACAAGTGGATTAGAAACCACAATAAAGGAATTAGACAATGAGTCCGGGGATAACCATTAAAGACAGACCGGAGGAGAGACCCGAGAAGATGAGACTGAGTTGGTAAAGGAAGGA